CGTAAATGTCACAAGCGCTTAGCATTGACGTTTTTGTTTGTTTTGTGTTTGTCGAATGGGAGGGTCGCGCGACGTGCCTTCGTTACAATTGCCTGCCACATTTCATTGCATTTCATTACCGCTGCGGCGGCATAAAGCGAGCCTTTAATAAAATCTAATGAATTGAATATGCACATTGGAGTGCAAACAAACATATATAAAGGGTGTTACAAATACAAATTACTTATGAAAAATAAAACATGACTAGCACAAATTTCCTAATATCGATGTCTGCGTATTTGAAAAATTAACGCATCAAACTAATTTTAACTGATTTTTACTTAGGGTGGCAACGCTTTTCCAACCTTACCTTAAAAAAGCTTTTTTAAGATCGTTCTTTAGTACGATTGCGTAGTGTAATCCTTAACGCATTTAAGTTTATAACTCATCTGAGTTTACGTCTAGGTGGCAACCCTTTACACAAATATTTTTAGTTATTTTTTTTTCTTTCTGCTTCATTTCCATATTCCAATACTTACGATGATAAACTAATTAAAAAAGTTTTAATTTTTCATGGTGGCAACTCTATTTATTACATCCTTATTAAAATGTTTGCAAAAATTTCCTATTCCAGCGAGCGATATTAAAATATTTTTGATACTTATTTTAACAAATAAAAAATAAAATAGATGGCAACTCCCTGAAATCCCTACACTATTTACAAAAACAATTCTTAATTAAAATGTTCTTAAATTTTTCTTTTCGTTTGATACCCATTTTAAAATATTTTAGATAAGAAGCTTGTTTGATATGTTTTAAATATTCTTCTAGGTGGCAACGTTGTTTATTTAATCATAATTATTCATACTTAGTTAATCATATAAAAATAATAATAACAGGTAGGTGGAAAGAACTCTCACTTAGCCTTGGGTTTCGTCTGCTAGATCTCTGTAGCGTTTTTTAAGCCGAATTTGCAGCATTCAGCGGAGCTGCAAGATGGCTGATCGATACACTTATTAGTCTGCCTTTTCGCATAGCCAGGCAGTTATTAAAGCACTTAATTTTGACGAATCTACATCGAAGATTGCTTCTAAATATGCTGGCAAGGTGTTACGTCACTAATGTTGTATGGGTGCCGGTGCCAGGTCATTAAGACATACCGGGCAACTGTGTTGCCGCTAAACTAGCAAGTAAAGGAACTTTACTGCCTGCAATCAGTACAGCCCGTAATGCGGGCCCATCGTGGCCTGAGTTGGCCCTTTTCCTGTTCGGGTTAGGGAAGCCAAGATAACCTAACCTAACTTAACCTAGAGTACTAAAAATTTAAAAAAGAAAGAAAAAAAAATGCAAAAAACTACTGTTGATCGAATCCCCGCGGTATGACAGCCACATCACGAGAAACGCATATCGATTTCCGAAAAACTATAACTATAAACTAAAATAATTCGATCAATAGCTTAAAGGTCTAAATCAGAGAAGCCCAGCGCAGGGCACTTGCTTATGGAGTTCTGCCAGCATTGGCTAAGTCGTCTTAGTATTATCATTTCGGTAGCTTTAATATATAGGGTGAAGCATCGTTTCAATAATTATTTATTTTTAATAAGTCCACTTAACCATACTTTCTGAGGAAAGAAGTGCACTTGCCATTTTGTGAGAGTGGGAATGCCAGCTAATTGGATCGTGTGAAGTACCTTTACTCACAGAGCAGTCTCGATCGGTAGGAACGTTGTTGAAAGGTCTCGCAATCAGTTATGTATTTAATTACCTGTATGAGAACTATAGAACTTTGCGCTCGGCGAATGAAAAAATCTGTGAAAAAATGTAGCTGTCTCTCTTTTGCCTTAACCAAACACATTTTTCTCTCGGTACGATTCCAAAATATTGAACACCCTGCATACATACATACATACCCAGTTCGATGGTCATCCATACGAGTATGGTCGCTTTCGTATATGCATATAGTAAAGCTAAGCCGCAATAGCGGCGACAATTCACACTAAATAATAGAAACTTTTAACGCCAACAGCAATGCGCCAACCTTAAGAGCCGCTATAAACCACTTTGTATGACCGCAATAATCAATATAAACATTACGCTGCAGCCACCTTCGAACTGCGCTGGCAATCATCTCACAAAATCATTATAATTTCTAAATCGACTGTTTCTATTTTTCGCTTTTCTTGTTTTACCGCTACGCTTGATTGCTTTTTTATGCGGGCCGCCGGTCGATCGCGTGGCATTCATTTAATGAATTTATTGAATTGCGCCACTGTATGTCGGTATGTATCGCCCGCAGCTTGCGGCGTTGACTTATGAAGTTCCACGGCTGCATTCCATTTCATTTAAAGTGGACGTTAAATCAGCAAATAGCATTCAAATCAACTGGAAAAATATTCAATTAATGCGTGTTGTTGTAGGCGTGTAGAATAATTGTTGTTGTTTATATTTATTTCAGCAAATGCATTCCTGCGGGGAAATGCATAACTTGGTTTAGAAGTAAGTTTAGTAAGGTTAAGCTCACAGTTACAGTTACTAGAAGAGTAAATTTAATAGGACAAATCGATGAAATCTCTCTAAATCAGCCTTGCACTTCCTAATGGAGTTTTGCCTGCGCTGTTCTAAATCATGCACCTTACGAAAAATATTCAATCCAAGCAGACTCTAAGCTAAAGCAATAAGAAAAATGCGCAGTCAAAGCAAACTTATTCAAGATCGTAATTGCACTTTAAGAATTCTTAATTTTGCGGTAAAAAGTCTGTAATTACCACCGAAGTGAATGAAATATGCAAATAAAGGCGGCAGGTAAGAGGTAGACTGTGGTCAATTTTCCAATATTTTTATTTATTTTTTTGTTAATACTTTGCGAAACTACATACGATTATTTAAAAAGTAATTGTGATTTTTTTTTTCAGTTTTAATTTAGCTTGCTACTTTTGCATGCCAACTTAAATTACGAGCCTCCGCTGCACACACGCAAATAAAAAAAATATAAATAAAATTAAGAAACAAAAATGCAGCAAAAATATTTTCACATGCCAACCTTGAAATTCCAATGCAACAACGCATACCAAAAATAAAATGAAAATATTTAGCAGCCACTACAGCCGAGCAATGCACTTGGTGATCTGGCAAAAAAGCAACAACTAACTACCAGCCAAAATCCACTTAATTCGTGAACACACATTGCAAGTGGCTGACAACGCGGCGATGGCGACAATTTGTTGCCACTGACGCAGAGCGAAGCTGAAGCAAAAAAAAAATAAAATAAATGAATTAATGTAGATAGTAAGAAATTATGTACATATGCGAAATGTTATAAAATATTTAGAAGCTGACAAAAAATTTCGCCAAAACTAAAGAAATGAATTGTGAATGGCAGCAAATAAAATAAAAAAGCAAAAGTAGCAATGTTATCTCATGCTGATTATTATTTTCGAAAACAATTCGTATGGCTGTCAAAGCGCGGCTTCATTGATGTTACTCGCTTTGAACTCAGCTGTCTCTCATCACTTTCGCTGTTATCAATTTGGCGTGCTGGTGTCACTGTGATTGACGTGCTCAGTGTCAAAGATCAATTAATATATATACAATGTATATTTTTTTAATTTGTTGTAATTTTTGTGCAATTGCTTCCTGATTTCTTTTCGTGTAGCGCTTGCAACCTTAATTTTTTGGTGAATTTATATTTCAGAGCAAAAGTAAATAGTCGGGACTGTTATCAACTCGTCGCGCTGATTGAGTTATTTATTAATTGTATAAGTGAATACAATACAAAGTCCTGCGCTATACGGTGTAACTTATAGCATATTGCTTTTTTTATAGCACTTTATCAATTTAAAAAGCTATATTTGATTTCATTTGGCGATAAGAATATACAAATTTCCAATTCCGGTTGAAATCACAGAGACCAGACTAAGCAAATGACATCATTTATTTAATTTCCAGGAATGATCGACCACGTGGGCGTAAATTATTTAGTATAGAGACGGTTAGTTAAGCGAGAGATTCTGGGAGGATGTGAACTGCATAATCTGAATTAATGGTTTCAAATTTTTATGAATTTGCAATCTTTGAAACTTTTGTTTATATACTAGTGAATGGCGTTTAAACGCCCGAAATTGAATTTAAAAAAACTTAAAAAATATATCAAATGTTAGTCAGAGTTATAAGAGATGCGAGTGCCATATTTCATCAAAACGATGCAGCCAATTTATCATATATCTACAGGCTAAGGTCTCAAATTTGACCTCTTATTTTTGAAATTCCTTTTCAAAAGTATTCTCAAACTAAAATCTTCTTAAATCTCTTTCATCTGACATTGTGATACACATGTAATCCAATAAACTGATGGACTCACTCGAATTTGATTGTTCGAACAAATGGCAACCTTCCTAAGTAAACGTCAGAAAAAAATTCCATTTCGATTTATACTCATCTTTTAATAATTTATCTAACTTACTGAATAGTTTGAATGTAACTTTTTAAACACGTGGCAACTCTCTTCCAACATTCGAAATGTTCACACTAATAATTTTAAAACATTCTCCTTCACCATAGACTGCGACTAATATTTTGATTAACTGATTAATTTTAATTTTCAAACATATGGCAACCCCGCTGAATACAGTTCAGAAATAAAAAATTTTAAAACCCCTTTGATTGATACCCATATTTTAATAATTCATTTAACTTATAAAATAATTTGAATCTAACTTTTTAAACAGGTGGCAATCCTCTTCCAATACCTCAAAAATTTGCTTAGCGTTCAAACTAAATATTTCTTAATACTCCTTCATTTGGCATCCATATTTTGATATTTCGCGTAACTTGTGTATAAGTAAACTGAATTCAACTTTAATCGGGGGGATATTATTTTCAAGCACTTTCTACAAATTAATAATTTCTTAAACGATAGACTTCCAAATTAAAGCCTCGCTATAATTCAGATCTCATTTCATTATTAAATTCTTAGTTTTTCCAATCGCAATAACTTATGCCTTCTTGTTTTTCTTCTTTTGCAGCCACATCGTCTACAGCATAAAAATTTGCATACAAAAAAAATAAAAACAAAAAATCAATGGGAAAATATTTAAAATATTCCCTGTGTGTTTCCATGCGCGAATTAAATCAAAAAGTGATTGCCAAATAAGCTCTCAATTGTGAAAAAATAACATAAAATAAATTTTATTGCCGACGCGCTTGCTTTAATTTATTTATTAGCAAATAAGTAAAAAGAATAATAAGAGAATAAGAAGAAGAAGAAAAGTAATAAAAAAAAAATTCAGCGCACTAAGGCAAACAAAACCTCGACCGAGCAAACAAAAACTGGCAAAGTAATCAAACAAAAATCAACAAACCTAACAATAAATGAATGTCTGTATGGAAGATACAAGTGAAAAAGATCAGCAAAAGCAAATCACACAAGCGCCAGAGGTCATATCAATTGGCGTTTGATTTACTCGCTTTGCGAAATTTCGCAAAAATTCAATAAAGAGAAAATAAATATTATTGCATGATCGAGTTTTGGTGCTTCGGAGAAGTGGAACGCTAAATAGAAAGTGTTTGAGTGTTTGCGTGCAAAGAAATTTCCTAAACAAATAAAGAAATCATTATTTCATGGGAAGAGGAAAGAGGAAAGAGAAAAGACTAAAGTGAATTGTTAAAAAATATTTGAAATTAATTTGGATATTTTTGGTGATTTGGGAAACTTTAGACAACTCGCCAACATACATACATACATACATACATATTTGCGTATGCGATTTTAATAGCGTATTCTAATTGAAGAAAGCTGTGGTAATATTTTCTTAATAGAAATGGCAGCCCCTAAAAATGCTCATACAATTTTCTGGTTGCTGTTGGCACTCTTGGTGGCGGAAGTCAAATGCAGCGATTCAGCACGTAAGTAGATGATTATTGACATATATACATATTTATAAAAAGAAGATTAAAAATGATTTAACATATTTTCGTAATTTTTCAAAGGTCATTGACTTATTTAATTTAAAATTATATCCGTTAATATAGTTTGTTTACTAAATAAATTAAGAAATTTAAGCGTTTATTCGAAAAGCGGTGGACCTTACTACTACTAAGTAGAAAAAAAAATTCCAAACCACGATACTTTTCCTTTGAAATTTGGTGTCAAACAAAGGTGTCAAACAAGCGGTCATTATGGTTCTAAGTTAAACTGGAAGAATACTTAAAATAATTGGATTAGGCTCATTCCATCACAAATCACCCAGGCCGGTGGAAAGTGAATATAAGTTTGCGATAAAACTTACAAGGATTGTTCCTTGAACAATTTAAGAAGACACGTATTTTTTCTTTTTGCTCAGAAATTCAAAAATTTCTAATAATAAATTTTATTCTTTTTGAGTATGAACGCTTCTTTTTTCCTCTCTTAATAGCAACTTTTGATGAAATCGCTTATAACTGCCGCAAAAAAGCAAGGATTTTTACGATTTTTTTTTCAAATTCTAGGTTTTGATCTACTGAATCGATCTAGTGAACGAAACAACAGTTATTGTTAATTAATAATTAATTATTGTTTATTGTTTATAAACAAAAATTTTTTTTCAAAACGATTTTTTTTTTAATTTCCCCCTTTTTTCTCAAACTTTTTTGTCTATTAGGGAATAGTATAAACTATTTTCAGTACGAGTAGCAATATGCTAAAATTCGTCGTTTTCGAGTTATGATTTTTTTTCTGGAAATGCACTTATTTGATGCTAGCAGATTCTCGTGCCAGTAGAGGGCACAAAAATTGTTGCCCATTATGATAAAGTTTCCTTGCTGGAAATAATTTGAGGTTATCCGATCAGAGCCAACCGTTTTTCCCAATTGGGCCCTAATTTTGGCCTAATTTGAGGATCTGAGATCTAAATTTCGTTTACAGGGAACAAATTTCACTCGTATTAAATGCAAGTGTTCTCTTTCTCAATCCAGAATTCGAGTAGCGGCATGGCTATTACGAAATTTTAATTAATTTTTACTAGCTGGTCAAAAAAAATTCGCTGCAGTATAAAGATTAGCAGTTTTGTGAAAAAAATATAAAATATAAATATGTAAAATCAACTGAGAAAAAATACTTCTACTTTAAAATGTCGAAAAAGTAAATCAAATTTACTTATCCACTTATTCCCACCATTGAAGATAAAATTGTAAATTTTAGTGCTTATCATAACTTTAGGACACCCACATATTGACAAGATTTAACTATTTTTTCGTTTTGATTACGTGTTTATAAAAATTTAGTTTACGATTTAACACAAACCTTAAAAAGTTTCAACCTTTGCGCAATATTAAAAGAAGGTGAAAATTTTTGGAAAAAATGGCGAACTATTTAATTAGATTTCATAGAAATATTTTGAGTATTCCGTTTTGTAGTCCATTAAATTCTAGTTTAAAAAAGTGCAGGTCTAAAGTAGTTTTGACTTACCGTTGATTTTTTGCATCTTATTTTTGTTGAAGGCTTTCCTCATTTTCTCCATATAAAAAATCGTCGAACATACTACATACACAAAAAAAAAATTGCCAAAAATGTGCGGCAAGTCCGAGATATTTTAAACTGCCACTTTATTGTATTAAAATTGAATGGGCTACAAAAAACTGCGTACGTACTCAAAAGTTTTTTTTTACAAAAGTTTGTTGATTTTTTTTTAATTTGCACAAACATTGGAAAGAACTGGATTCATACGGGTTTGATTGAAAAATAAACTGTACGTTTACAAAAAAAAAATAATATTAAAAATTAATAAAATAAACAAATTATCTTTTATCAAAGGGGAAAATTAGTATACATACATAAAAAGATACTTTAAATTCACCTCTCGGTTGTTGATAAAATCTTTAGCCTTACAAAATCTTATAAGTTCGTTTTATGTGCGCCGTTTTTCGAACACTCTCATAAAATATATTTTAATAACTAATAAGCTGACAGATGAACGTTTGTTATGGCCCTCCATATATCACACTCATAAACTTGCTCAAGCATCCACTTATTCCCACCCTCATCCAGCCATACAACCGTACAGCTTATACAAATTAATGCACGCGGCTGTGACATCTTCCAAAAAGCAAAAAAATAAAAAAAATATGTCGCGTGGGCGCCTGCTGCTGCAGTGGCTGTACTCGGTTGCCAGTTGCCGGTCACACTTGGCGTCCGCTTGCGAACACTTGCCAGCGACAGTGTCAAGCCTTTTAAGCGATGCGATTAAAGCGAGACAAGTATTTAAGTGAAAATATTAAATACATATACAAAAAAAAAAAAAAAACGATGCAAAATAAAATAAAGATAAAAAATCGGAATGAAAAGAAAAAGCAATGCAACAAATATTGCTACAGTTTCGAAGCTCTTAAGTGCCACGCATTAATTGAAGATTTTTGCTTTAAGCTGTCGTAAAACATATGAAAATCGCTTAATTATTTGCTATAATTCAGTTTCAGCGAGTTATTTATTTATGTTTGTTTTGTTAAAGAAAAAATGTTTTTGAATGTTTCGAAATTATTTCTAATGTTAAATTAGTTTCTTTGCAGCTGTTTAAGGCATACATTTTTACTTGCTAAAGAAAAAAATTTAAAATAATACTTTTTAAGAAATAATAGAAAGTGTATCTAATCGAAACAAATGCAATTATTTCACTAAACCGCACAAATAGTTTTCACCTAATTAATTTCACTGAAACAACCAAAATATTTCCCACATAAGCACAAAGTATTTGCAAATGCAAATCGAATAGCAGAAAAAATTCCACAAATGCGGGAATTAGAGCAAATTTTTATGATTTCCACTTCCGCTCCAGCCAAAAGCGTAAGCAGCTTACCAAAATAATAATACTCAAGAACTGGAAAAAACGGCAAAAAAAATTGTTTAAGAACACTTGAAAAATTAGCAAATACCAAAAATCGCAATTAAAAAAAATTTTCTCAATGCAAAACTCTGGGCGAAAAAAAAAATTTCAAACGAAAAAATTACTGCAATGTGTTTACCGAAAATGCGAAAGCGCTAGAAAGAAAACAAAAACAAACGCAATTTGGTAACAAAAATGCATGGTTTTGTTGGTATGCCGCTAGGCAGAGGCCGCCAGTGCCGCTGGTGTTTCGCAAGCTGTGGCGTCATCAAGTGGCGCGCTGACCTGGGGCTGGCGGCGACACGCTACGAGTCATAGAGCTGCTGACTATTGGCTACTAGCTGGCTACTGCAGCAGTGTAATGAAAAATGGTGGCTAAATGGCTGGGTGACGGTGGGCAAGTGAGCCGCTGCTTGTGGCGTCATAATTGCGTGCCAGCCATTTGAAGTGGCCAGTGGCACTCACGGAGGCATAAATATGCACACACACACTAAAAAAAGTGAACTTAATTTATTGAAAACTGTGTGCTTTTTGACCAATTAATGTGCTGCTTCTACACATTACATTTTGTTGCTATTTGTTGGTGTTCCAGTAATGCGTTTTTTTTGGTAACACTCAAGCGTTTATTTTGGAGAAATGCTGCAATAATTATTTTCGTTTTTGCTACAGTTCACTTGAAATGGCAATGGAAAATTAATGACGTCGTTTGTTGGGAATTTGAAAAATTTCTTGTAATTTTTGCTAACGAAAATTTCGAAAAATTCGTTGGCTTCGTACTTGAGTTTTTATTGCAATTTTTAATGTTACTTTGAACCAAAATTACTTGCGACCGTTTTTTGAACAAAATTTCTGTTTAAAAGGCAAATATATAAATTTTAAAATCTAATTGAGAAAACAGCGCTAAATATATATATTAAACATTTGTTTCGTTTACTTTTTTACTCTACCTCTCTTTCTCCCAAAGTTAAAGCACTTTTCTTGCCTTCAAACCATTCATGTCCCGAAGCCCACCACAGCGTTACGCTATTGTGGGCCCCCTGGTGGTTCGCTCCTTTAGTAGGCAGTCGAAAGTCTTCCCATTTGTATTGCCTTGCCACGACCACAGCATTACTTGGATGACGGTAATCTCAGTATTTTCGAGGACATCAAGCAGCCATGCGAAGGCACCTCCCTTATTAAGGATCCGAAAATCACAAGTACACACTATCGGAGCATATCAGCTTTTGCAACTGACATTCCATTGAAAGTCATGTCAAAAAGCTTGTAGCTAACTTAATTTTGATTTTGTTTTGACTGTGAGCGCCCTCTATAGTCATAAAAACTTTTCACCGTGGCCGTCATCAAAAGAGGTTGTCTCGTTCGAGGCGGGTGTTAAACTGCCCTTAGTTTTCATTTTCTTCTATCTTTGGCATTCCATGCCTAGGGCCTAATTCATAAAGGTGCGAAAATTGTCGATTTTTCCGAAAAATTTCAGAGCCAGAATTGTCGGCAACATTTTTTCCTGGATCATAGACGCCTGTAGGCCGCTGTGACAATTTTTGGAAAGCGACAGTGACAATACTGGAATATTGTCGACAATGGTGCTGACAATTGTCACTCTGACAAAATTATCGCGACAATAACGACAACACTAAAAAGCTTCGTCGGAAATTCTTCACAGGAGAATTTTGTAAATATATTCAATAAATACTTTATACTGACTTCACTGGTTGACAAAAGTTTTTATGGAAAAAAAACACCCACCAAACTGGGTGTCACTGACAGTACGGAAAATGCCTGTCATGACAAAATTGTCACTGTCACTTTATGAAATAGGCGCTGATCGTACCGTAATAATATACAACGTACAACACAAATTAAGGCTTATAGCCATCTGCCAGCCGAAAGTCATTCAAATAATCTGTAGATTGCTGTTAAATTTGAAATAAAAAAATCACTACCTATTTTATTTATATGCAAAAACTATCAACTCTAAATTCCATAATTTTTTTCTACCCAAAAAATGAGGTCAATCAACTCAATTTGGATGAGGCAGACGACGAGAAATTC